ATATATATATATATATATGTTTTACATTTTTATATAACAATATTTGCAATGCTCTTTAGAGTGCTCAAGACTGCTCAACTATCAAGCAGCTCGTTTCGCGCAAAAATATATCGTTTTTTTTCATATAAGCAAAAATATGTTGAGGCTAAGACTTTCTAGCTTTTAAGGATATATTAATTATTGCATCATTATCAATGTTTTATAACATTGATCAATATTTTATAACATAGCTACTGTATGTGCAAATTGCCATGACGGATCTGGATGATTTATTCGAGTGTATGCCAACGATACTAATCACGATAATATTCAGCTTTAAATTAGCAAGCTTGATGGCAAACAGTGAGAAAGTAAATAATGTAGTTTTATATACCATTTTATTAGCACGACGAAAGTCACCCATAGTCAAATTCTCGATATCCGATAATAAATATCGTTATCGTAAAGAAAATGCGGGTGCATTTTTGTAGATAAAGGCCTGTCTTAAGACTATAGAAGACGATTGGTTGTCATTAAATACAGATAGCGAGAAAGCTATTTTACAACGTCATGCTACATACGGACAATATCTAACGATATTTTATGCAGGTGCGTATCAAACCCTGGTGAAAAAATTTCTCATATTTTCTTAAAAATTTTCTAAGAATTTCTTATGTTTTACATTTATGAAAAATTCTGAAAAACTATATATCAAATTTTTCAGATACTTTCAGAAATAATTGGATAATAATTTTCAAAATATTTTAATATCTGTATGCGTAAAAATTTCTGATAAATGCGTTGATTTTCTCATATTTATTCAGATTTCTACAAAAATGTATTAACGAGAAAAATCTGAAAAATTTCATTAGTATTTTGTCAGAGTTTTTCTGAAAATGTGCCAATTCGTATAAAAAATTTACGAGAAAATCTTAAAATTCTGAGACATTTTTTAAAAGTCTTAAAATTTTCATAGAAATTCTGATTAATAATATGAAAAATTCTGAGACATTTTTCCACCAGGAAAGACAAGATAGATATTTGGGTAGAATATTTTTGGCAAAAAATGTGTGACAGAGAGTTGAAAATTTACTAGAGAATTCTTTCTCCGTAACTTGATCGAATCTTTCAGCAACGTCTTTTGCATTATAATTTTCAGTCTTTATGGTGACAACAGGATTGCTCTACATGCTCAAGTCGATCGTGTTAATAATGATAGAGGATACTTCAAACTCGACCAGATTGGCCGTAACGAAACTACCCTTCCGCGTGGAATACGGTTATAAGATAGATCAGTACTTCTATCCGATACTGATTCATTGTTATCTAACCGTGTATTCTCACGTGACCGCCACGGTCGCTGCCGATACCTTGTACTTCGCTCTGATCCAACATGCCTGCGGGATGTTCTCGGTTGTCGGGTAAGAGTATCAGGAACGATGTTTTAAATAAAGACTGAGGGATAACAGGTGAATGACCAATGTCATGAAGACACTTTGATATATATCGCTTATTCCGATCCTTTTCAATTCCAATAAAATCGATGATCTAGACTCTAGATTAGATTCTGCGATTTGAAAATACAATTTGCCAAGAACATTATTATTTTAGCGGCCTTCAGACACATGCTGGAACATATTGGCGAGAATATCAATGCAAATTTTGATCTGAAGCCCGACAAGAAAAACGATAAGAATTACCACAAAGCTTTCAATTGCTTA